TATATATATATATACATATATATATATATACACATATATATATATATATATATATACATATATATATATATATATTCTGCTATTTGTTTCTATGAATTATTGAATTCAATCACCTTGTAGATTATTGTTCAATGAAATTCACTTTTACTAGAATCGACAGCCTTTTACATGAAGTTCATAATTCTATTATCTTAGATTCATAAAAGCGATACTTTTAGTTATCTCTTTTTAATTTTGCCCCCAACAGAGAAACAACTGGGAGACTCTGTACTGCGAATATGCCACGCAAAAGATGCATGGTGGTTGTACAAACAAATCACAAACTCTACCTTCATCAGCTGTTGGCAATTAAATTTCTTCATATTAAAAAAAAGGGACAGTTGTGAGTATTTGTTTGTTTGGGCTATTCATGTGATCGAAGCCAGCGTGTCTGCAATAATAATTCATGCGCTTAAGCTACACTGGCCAGTATTTGTTGCGACTTCGAGATTTCCGTTGTCGGCTTCCTACCTCACTGAACCTTTTCGACCTTCCCAGGACATTCCAGAACCTGCCACGTGCCTCCACCAACCGCCCATTAAACCCCTCGACTCCACCTCTGCTCGCCTTATCCCCTGGCCGAAGTCGAAAACCAGAACAGAGCTCTGCCTCCGTCTTCGTCGTCTAATTTGGGCTACGGTTTCTTCCGTCGATCGTCGATGGCGTTTTCCGCCCAAATACACGCTCTCGGCTCCCCCACCGCCGCCGCCACCTTTCCTTCCACTAAGAAGCCCTTCTCCTCCTCTGCTTTCCTCTTCTTCGGTCCGAACGACATCAAAGAAGCCCGCCTCAGCATGCGGAGGAGCAGCCGTCGCGGCGGTAGCCACGCTCCTCTCCGCGTGGTGTGCGAAAAGGTGGTGGGGATCGACCTGGGAACCACCAACTCGGCCGTGGCCGCGATGGAGGGCGGGAAGCCCACGATCGTGACTAATGCCGAGGGCCAGCGGACGATGCCATCCGTGGTGGCGTACACCAAGAACGGGGACCGGCTTGTGGGTCAGATCGCCAAGCGTCAGGCGGTCGTGAACCCGGAGAACACCTTCTTCTCGGTGAAGCGATTCATCGGGCGGAAGATGTCAGAGGTGGATGAGGAGTCGAAGCAAGTCTCCTATCGCGTGGTGAGGGATGAGAACGGGAATGTAAAGCTTGATTGCCCTGCCATCGGCAAACAGTTCGCAGCTGAAGAGATATCAGCTCAGGTATATTTTGTTAGTCTTATTCCTCCTCTGGCTTCTGTTAAGCCATTAGTCTACATTCGCATTAAGATATACAACTCGGTTGATCCATTGCTGGATCCTGTAATTGGCATGAGTTTTACTCTTTCTTTGTATTGATCGATTTGCCGTTGGTTTTGCTTCGTCTCATACTATCTATTATGAACTTGCTCCAGTCCAGTGATTGGCTTCTAGGTAAGTTCCTCCGTCCCACGTATCCTTTCCTTTGAACTCCAACTGATAGATTGGAGTTTTATTCTCTTTGTTGTTATGATTGGAGCGCGTAGCATTGTTTCATTGCTACATGCACTCCTGAAGCGTCTTATCTGTATTTTTGTTTCTAGTTTTATTGCATAAAGTTGTCTCTTGTTACACGTTTACTACTCTATCAAATTGACAGTATTGTTACTTATGGTCTTTGGAGACAGAACAGTCACATTTAAATTCGTAATGTAAACCTTTCTTATTGGAAATAAGTGGGAATTATAACAAATAGCATATACGTCTCATTTTGATGTCAGAAACCTTGGCATTATCAAAAATAGTTGTCTACTGTGTATGCATTTACACTTTTTTTCTATCAGAAACTAGCCTTAGTTCTTTCTCGTTCAAGTTGGCAATCTTAGTTTTGCTAGTTTGTATGGCCTAATGAAAGTGCTACGTATGGTCCGATGTTGAAAGCAATTTTGTGCTTTTCAGGTCTTGAGAAAGCTTGTGGATGATGCATCTAAATTTTTAAATGACAAGGTTACCAAAGCCGTGATTACAGTGCCTGCATACTTTAACGACTCGCAAAGGACAGCAACAAAAGATGCTGGGCGTATTGCTGGTCTGGATGTCCTTCGTATCATCAATGAGCCAACAGCTGCATCATTGGCATATGGATTTGAGAAGAAAAATAATGAAACAATTCTTGTGTTCGACTTGGGAGGTGGAACTTTTGATGTTTCAGGTATTTTTTTTCTTTGGTTTACTACTGGTCAAAATGATTTTGGTTCTCTTTTTTGTAATGTGCAGATAAGTTAGCTCATATCAGTTAGTGATCTCTGTAATATCATCTTACAGTTCTTGAGGTTGGTGATGGTGTGTTTGAGGTGCTCTCTACATCCGGAGATACCCATCTCGGTGGTGATGACTTTGACAAGGTATGCCATATTTCTTTCTAAGGAACCTCAATTATCTGTGTAGGAAGCCTTTTTATGAGCTTGATTTATCATATATAACTACTCGGTCTCGCTTACTAGATGGATGGTTTTTATCTAATCTGTTTCACTAGATTCACAAACTACTTATCACGCAAAATGTCGTGGATTGAAAAATATTTGTTCATTATATTGAAATTGCATTGATCGAGCAGAAAAAAACAGCGTTGATACTTTCTCATTATTTATGCAATTATAGTAACATCCATTAAGCTTCCCATTCAGGTGGTCGTTTAAATCAAAATTGTGAAGCAAATAGTTCATTTTAAAGATGAAAACAACATAAGAAAAAAAGGCTGGGGGAAGAAGGATACTTTGAATGTTGTACTAATTAAAGCTGGGTTAAGGTTCAATTTTAGCCCTTGTGGTTTTGATCATGGATCACTTAAGCTCTTATGGTTTACTCGTGTCTAAAATAACCCGTACGTTTTCAAAAACGTAATATATAAGTCCCTCCCATCAAGTTTGAGTTAACAAACGTTAGAATCTGCTTACGTGTCATGTTGACTCACAATAAATAAATTAATATAATGACATGTATAATTTAAGTTTTAAAAAAATATTAAGGTTCATTTTAACCCTTGTGGTTTTGGCCATGGAGCACTTAAGCCCTTATGGTTCATAGCCAAAATCGCAGGGACTAAAATGGACCTTAATCATTTTTTAAATTTAAATGATATGTGTCATTATATTAATGGTTTATTATGAGTCAGCATGTCATATAAACAGACTCTAAAGTCTGTTAACTCAAACTTGATGGGAGGAGCTTATATATTCCGTTTTTGAAAATGTATAAGTTTTTTTAGACATGAGTAAACTACAAGAGCTTAAGTGGTCCATAACCAAAACCCATTAAAGTTTATTGATTCTGTAGGTTTTATTTAATGTTTTTGAAAATATTTCTTTACTAATTGTTTTCTTTTACACAAAGTGCAGCCTCTATTAAGGCCTTTTTTCTTCAATCTCTTTTCATCAATGGAAGAGTTTCAAACAAGTTGATGCGTCTATCTTCTACTCTATGCAAATGTTTTCTTGTTCTGTGTTACATGTGTTCTCTTTCCTAGTCAGTGCATATGTTTTCTCGATAGTCTCGTGCTCTCTGCAATTGAGTTTTATACAACATACTTATGTTTTGAACAGAGAATTGTTGACTGGCTTGCTGCAAACTTTAAGAGAGATGAAGGTATTGATCTTTTGAAAGACAAACAGGCCCTTCAAAGACTCACTGAAACAGCAGAGAAGGCCAAGATGGAATTGTCTACCTTGACTCAGACAAATATCAGGTTAGGTTCTTCTACTATCAAGTTTGCATTTGCAATATCATTCTTCTGAGTATCTCTTTCCTTTTTACTTGAGGTTTTGTATGACTCACATATTTGCTTTTCTTACAGTTTACCATTTATTACTGCAACTGCTGATGGCCCCAAACATATAGAGGGTACACTTTCAAGAGCAAAATTTGAGGAATTGTGTTCCGACCTTCTTGATAGGTATCATCTACATGTCCATGTTTGGATGAGGTTAACTGATTGAGATATTTAATTTCAAATCAATATTGTAACATGCTGGTTGTCATTCCCCTCGTGCCTTTATTTTCTCCTAATACTAATTTACTAATATAATTGTTCTATTGTTTTAATCTGATTTTGCTTGACAGTAATTACTTTCCAGGTCACAATTTATAAGTGTCATCAGCATAAATGTTGTACTTGGTCTTTTTCAGCATGCTCTAGGGTGTGATTTTGTACTTATATTTTCTTATTTCTCCCCTTCCAAATTGCTACTTGGAATTATCAGGCTTAGGACTCCTGTGGACAATGCCCTGAAAGATGCAAAACTTTCATTCAAGGACTTAGATGAAGTAATTCTTGTTGGTGGATCAACTCGAATGCCAGCAGTTCAGGAGCTTGTTCGGAAGATGACAGGAAAAGAACCTAATGTTACTGTCAATCCAGATGAGGTTGTCGCTCTCGGTGCTGCTGTCCAGGTTTGTCCTTCATACTTTGGTCATTTTACTTCTGCAATTCATCTTTATTTAAAGAGAAATGTGCCTAATAGATTAGCGATTATGTTTTGTACTCAACTTGAAATCTTTAGAGATGTTCCTTCGAGTGTAGCTCTTTTCTGCCTCTTGATTCACTTTTACTAAGAATTCAACACCTAGGTTGGCAGACAATGTGTTCCCATGAAGCCTTCTCAGCTTGATTCGTACTATATCATTGACACCATATTGAGAGATACAGGCTCTGTTGACAATGTTACTCTACTTGAAGTCGGCATAACTAATGCTGGTTGAATAAGAAAAAGAGTTAATGTAAGAAATGTTAGTGAGGATTACTGTCCTAAGACTGAAGAGACTTGTCATTCACTTTGATGTCTGATATGCTCCATTAGGTATATAATTTTGACTGTTCAAGAAATTCATCTTTTTAATCTGCTAATGAAGAGAAAGAAGGCGTGATGTTTTACATATTTAATTAATGATGTTTTACATGTTTAATCACCTTCATAAGGTAATGGAATTTCAAAGGCTATGTTTAGCATTGACTCTGAAGGAAAATATACATGTGTGAAGTAGAAGGTCACACCAACTACAGATCTTTATTTGGAGAAGGCTATGCTCAACTTTGTATTGTTTGCTTACTGCAGGCAGGGGTATTGGCTGGCGATGTCAGTGATATTGTTCTTCTAGATGTTACACCGCTGTCTCTTGGTCTGGAGACATTGGGTGGGGTGATGACAAAGATCATTCCCAGGAACACAACATTGCCAACAGCCAAATCAGAAGTCTTTTCTACAGCAGCTGATGGACAGACCAGTGTCGAGATAAATGTTCTTCAGGGCGAAAGAGAGTTTGTGAGGGACAACAAATCACTTGGCAGCTTCCGTCTTGATGGTATCCCACCTGCCCCACGTGGGGTCCCACAGATCGAAGTCAAGTTTGACATTGATGCCAATGGCATTCTTTCTGTTACTGCTGTGGACAAGGGCACTGGGAAGAAACAAGACATCACGATTACCGGGGCTAGTACTTTGCCCAGTGATGAGGTAAGCTCATTGTTCACCACTTCAGGCAGAAATTAGCTTTTACTGCATGGTGAGAATATCTAATCCACCAACTGCATATTTAAGATAGGAAATTTGTTCTCTGCCTTCGTGTCTTGGAACCGTTTCATTGTTTTATAGAAATGATTCTGAAACTTAAATGCAAGTTCATTCTATTCTGTCTGTATGGATCTGATGTACCTTGTATCGATCAGGTGGAGAGAATGGTCAAGGAGGCTGAGAAGTATGCCAAAGAGGACAAGGAGAAAAGGGAAGCCATCGATACTAAGAACCAATCTGAATCTGTGATCTACCAGACCGAAAAACAACTGAAGGAGCTCGGAGATAAAGTGCCTGCTTCTGTCAAGGAAAAGGTGGAGGCAAAGCTCAAGGAGCTTAAAGATGCTGTTGCCGGTGGATCGACCCAGAGCATGAAGGATGCCATGACTACCCTGAACCAGGAGGTGATGCAGCTTGGGCAGTCACTTTACAACCAACCAGGTGCTGCTGGAGCTGGACCTGCTTCTGCGGATGGTGCTGGATCTTCTGCAGAATCACCTGGTAAGGGTCCCGACAACGGTGATGTGATTGATGCAGATTTTACTGACAGCAAGTGAGGCCGCACCTCCAGTAAATATATTGGTGAGCAGGACTTCCACAAAATGTGCATAGAGTAAGGTGTTTCCGCAGGTCAGGTGGGGATTCAGACACAGGACTAGGGAATTAGGCCTGTATGGAACTTAATCCCACCTTTCCTTGTATGTTAATTATAGAATGAGGTACATAAAATAGGGTAAAGCTCCCAAAAGGCAATTATTTGTGCATCAAGATTTTGTAGGAAACTAATTTTGATCAGTAGTCGATCATGGATCTGTAAGAGACGACTAGTGAAAAAAGTGTGATAAAGATTCCCACCCGCAAATCTTCTCCGTCAGGCCATTCAAGGTTCCTGGTAAATCTGGGCTCCCATTTTCTCTTTCTGCTCAATTTAGAAAGCAGTTTGTACATTTATTGGATTGGATCTCCTCTGCTCTATTTAACATTCTTGCTGAGAGTTACATATAAAATACATAACTACTATACTCATTTAGTTTGTGATCTTATTGTTGATTCCATAAATGTTGGGTAGGTATGCAAGTAAAAAATCGTAATCACTCCTGACAAAAGGATTACATTACAATTTCTCAGTCATTATTGTCGTTTGTTATGACCTGAAGAGAACTGGAATTATGCCCAAATAAAAGAAAATTTATTGGGATTATATGAAATAAAAATGCTGCGGTCAGTGTCAGCGAAGGGCCCGCAGCCGGCGGTGACGGCACCGGTGGTCGCGGTGTCATGCTCTTAAAATTCGAACGGACCAATCCGCTCCTTCCCTTGCCGTGGGTCCCGCATGAGCGAGGTAACCTGAGGTTTGCTTATTTCCTTCCCATCACTCCGCCCTTTTGCGCTCTGCTATGTTTGTCGAGTACTGCTTGAACTTTTCCGTATTTGTCATTTTCACCTCTGCGGACGCTGCGGAAGTTCTCATTTACCCCCTCATGTTTCTTATTATTACCGTAATTAAATATATGAATACTTTATTTTGATTTAATGTCCGCTTTTCTCTAGGGTAAATACGTAATTTCATGCGTTGAGGGCTTTCACTTCATCTACACCAAAAACAAAAGCCCCTCAAGATCTTGGAGCGAGGGGATCTCCAAGAGGCAATGGCGACGGAACGAGAGAAGGAGAGGGAGGCGGAGCTCGAGAGCGCAATGTACACCAACTGCCTCCTCCTAGGTCTCGACCCGGCCATCATCGGCGGCGGTGGGAGCCCGAGGGTGGGTCATTTCCGCCACTCCAACCCGCGCTTGGGCGAGCAGCTGCTCTACTTCCTCCTCTCCGCCCTCCGTGGCCCCGCCCAGTCCGCTAAGGCAACCAAATCGCCCTCTCCCTCGTCGCGCTGGTTCTTGATTATGGACAAATCTGCTCGGGTGGGTTTGTGCTAATTGTGACTTTCTTGATTTCTCAGGATTTCGATAAGGTCTGGCCGATCTTCGATTCCGCACAGTCCCGAGAATTCCGAAAGGTCGGTTGTTGATGTCTATTTCGTGCGGATCTTTATAATGTCTCGCTGTTGTACTAATTTTGCGGATGATTTTGTTTCTTGCCCTGGTGTTGAAGATTGTACAAGGGATAATAAGCGAGCTAGAGTCGCAAGGGGCTCTACCGAGGAGTAATTCTAGGGTTTCCTCCCTCGCAACTTGTTGTGGACCGAGGTCAGTGTTCTTCTCCCTTTATAAGGTTTTGCCTATTTGTCTTTGTGAAAAGACTGGAGGTAAGATTTGACCCTAATTAGTCTAGTGAGGTGTGTTTGAAATTCTTTTGAATTGTCATGGGGGGTGAACTTCTTTGATACATGTGACTTGGTGGTTGATTCATTGGACATAATTCTTGTTGTAGCTACCAGCCGCGGTGTTGTTGCAGGGGATGCCCAAGTTATGCCCTGTTTCCTTAAGATATCTTGCAAACCCGTATAGACTGTAGGAACTTCTTTGGTATGACACAGTTGTAGACATTATTAGGTGCACCATTCGTTCGTGTTATCGCGATACACAAACAAAAAGAAACTCCACCGTGGCATGCCACTTGCCAGCAAGTTTATCAGGACAAGAAAAGTTCCTGGTATGTTAGCTTCCGATGCAATGGTGCAGAACGACCATCGCAGGGTTTCTAGTTACAATGGAATTATGGAACATGTTAAAATGTTGCAAGTCGTGATGGATCAGTGTTGATCTGACACTAAAATGTTAGTAGTGACAACTGTGACAACCATTTCTCCAATTCAAAAGACCTAATATAAAGAACTACATAAAGAACCAATACTCAAGCTATATACATGCATCTCGAGATGACATGGCATCAGCGTCTTTCGAGGTCCTGTGCTTGAGCTAGAAGAGCCTGTAACAGGATGATCCACTACTGCTCCAAACAGGGTTCTTTGTCCCTGTTTCTGGTTCAGATGGAACCTTTTCTTGGCAAGTTACAGTCAAATCTTGGTCGACTTGAACATGAGCCTGATTTGGGTCCGAGTTAACTCAGATCTGCTTCATAATATATCATAAGGAAGTTTGCTTGCAGGATGCTCTCATGCTTAAATTGCAAACTTATTCTTATCAATTTATGTATTGATTTACCCTGTAAAAATAATAAATAGTGTTGTTCACTGACATGGAATGGCTTACAAGGATGGTTCTGATAATATGAAAAACATTATTTGTTGTCTCTAATCATAGTTTTTACTTGTCACTTTAGCACAATGTTAGCTATTTTAATTTCTTCTTGCAATTGCTATTTTCTTGTTTGCTGTTATTTTTCGAAATACTTCTGACTTACTGCTTACTGTTATAACTGCCTATCTAGCTATATATTTTGTATGCAAACATCTATTTTCAGTAAAATGAAATGTAGTTCTGCAGCAAGCGCGAATGGTATGTGAAAAACATCTGAAATATTTCTGAACTTGAGTGCAGATTTGTTGAGCTTTTGTGGCAACTTTCTGTGCATGCCTTACGGGAGGTTCATAAGCGAACATTTGCTGCTGATGTGGCTTCTAACCCATTGCCAGCTTCACTGACGGATGTTTCATACCTACATGCTGCTGCATTACTTCCTGTGACTAAGGTGATCAAGCAATTTCATGTCTTCTGCTGCTCCATAATATCTGGTTCAGTAGGTTTACCTTACTATTTAGAACTTTTTTTTTTTAAACTACTATCCAAGTCAGCCAATTATTAGAACGCAACATGCAGTCGTCATTAATTGTGCTAAAACTTGGCATGCGGCAACATGAAAATAAAGAAAATAATAATTGAAAATGGATTGCAAAGCAAATCTGAAGTTTTTTTCATTCGTGACTGCTGAAATTCTAGAAGAACTTAACACTTATCTCTTGACGGTAATTGTATCAGGATGCCTCCTGTTGTGGATCAATTATTGTCGTCTGCTTCGCATAATGTCTGTTGTCAGACTCAGTAGGGATCAGAAGAGCTCTAGTAAATAAACATTAGGAGGATGGCATATGAGTTGATGAAATGATAAAGTCCCTGACCATTGTTTTTTGCATTTTCTTATCATATTATCTTTCTCAAGGAACCACACTAAAGGTGGAAGTTGGCGACCATTTCTCTAAATGGAGAGAAAATATATATGAAATTTTGAAACAATTACTTGGCTCCAATGGTTTCCATATCTTTTGTTCACCCAAGTGATATGTGCTAATACTAAAGTTGTTAATTCCTTTATCTTGATATACCTTCTTAACTTGCATACTATTTTTTCCCTTTTTTCTGTGCTCTTGTTAGATAATAGGTCTTCTCTCTCTTTTTAAATCTATATGCTTTACTTCATACCCATCCTTTGTCCTCCTACCGAGCTGTTTTGTTGTGATTTCATGTTCGTAATTTTGTGCATGTACTTGTCATTCTTAGACAGACTGAGTTGTTCATTGTTGTCCTGACTTCTAACCAATTTGTCAAGGATGATTACTTCTGTGCACCTCATATTAGCCACTAAGACCATGTCTCAATGTGTCTTCTCTTGAATGGCAGGTATGCTCCAACGTGTCTTCTCTTGAATGACAGGTTTGGGCTACTTTCTACTCGGTCATAACTTTTCGCTGTAGGGCGCCCTGTGCCCATGCATGCTTTGAAAAACTTGGTTTGGTCCTACAAGACTTGATGTCTCTAGTCCTATATCGGTGGCTATGGATTGCTATATCCTCTATACTTAAGTTTGTCTAACAGTATAATATATTTCCTCACTGTAATTTCTCTTATTTTGTTGATGATTTTTTTATGCTAAGCAGGCTAGAATAGCTCTTGAGCGAAGGAGATTCCTAAAAAATGCTAACATTGCTGTTCATAGGCAAGCTGCATGGTCAAACTTAGCTCATGAGATGACAGCTGAGTTCCGTGGTCTATGTGCTGAAGAGGTAGAAGATGCCTTCTATGTGTTCTTTAAATGTGTATATGTTCTCCAATTTGCTCTTCTATCTTCCATTTTTCTGTTTTCTAAGAAATATTGTTGACTTTCCTTTTTGATGTGTCAAATTTGCTTCGTCCAGGCCTACTTGCAGCAAGAGTTAGAAAAGCTCCAGGATATGAAAAACAAAGCTAAGTTGGAAGGGGACTTGTGGGATGATCGTATCTCCAGTTCTTCCAATCAGAACTCCCACTTGGTTTCCAAGGCTACTCGCCTTTGGGAGTCACTATTAGCTCGGCAGAGTAATTTCTAATCACTATCTCCCATTTGGTGCTTATACCTTAGATTTAAGCATGATAGATTTCTTTTGGTTACTTTTGCAAAGGAAGTTTTTCTCTGTTAACATTGTAATATATTGATTCGCTTTGGTTTAACACAATGTTGAATGGGTGCTGCTCTTACTGATGTCCTTTAATGATTTTCTGGAATAAAGTTAGAATAATTTTTTAAAATTCATACATTAGCTGAAGATTTTTCAGTTTTGTAACCTTCTTCTAGCTTAAATTTCAAACATTTGTTTGCTGAAATATAAATCACATTTTTTCTGTTGTGGTATTGGATTGTATTTATTGAATATAGAACCATTAAATTTCTAAAGATATATCAGACAACTTGCAGCATATATTTATTGAATATAGGACCATTAAATTTCTAAAGATATATTAGATAACCTGCAGCATAGAATGCCATATCAGACATGAACAGTAGAGTTTCATGTATCAGCTTTACCACTTTTGTGATACCCAAACCTTTTTCATTTGCTAATTCCGGTGAAGTCACTAGGCGCCCGGGTGCTCGGCTAGGCGCCTAAGCGAGGCAAGGCGAGGCCCGAGTGCTCGTCTATGCCTATTGGTCTCGGCAGGTGTCTTCACTCAGGCATGGCCTAGGCGCTTGGTAGGTCAGGCACCTACCTGGTTCAGCTCAGGCCAGGTCGAGCTTGATTCGAACCAAACACGAGACAATTGGTTTAATTGAACCAGTTATCTCTCCTTTTCTTCTCCTCTCTCCTACCTCTACCCCATTCACCGCAGCCCCCCGTCTCCCTCCTGCCCTCATCGTAGCCCTCCCTCTTCCCTAATCGCTCTTCCCTCTGCTCCTCACTCTTCGCCTTTTCCTGCTGCCTTCTTCCCTGTTCACCGCTGCTAGTTCATTGTTGTTTGTCAATTTAAACTTTGATCAGCTGCCTGCTTTGTTGTTTGTCTATGTTTGAGAGCGCAGCCGCTACCTTCATTGCTTAGTGAATCAGTAGTAAAATGTCGATTATTATTTCTATTGCTGTTGTTTGATGTGTTATTTTAGTTTTAGTTTATTTTTATTAATTATGATATATAAAATTTAAATTATAATATTTGGGAGCGTCACGTTTCGCTTGGGCAAACGCCTAGCACCTTGGGTATTTTGGGACTATGGTGCTTTTTGGCGCCTAACGCTTTTGACTATACTAGCTAATATCCGAAACCAAATTGAGATTCAGATTTTTGTTTGTGTTGGATAGTTCATTCTCATGCCCTTGGGAGCAATTTCATTGGCAGATGCAGTGCTTTCTGCCGACTTCTCCATGTGCTCAAATATGGTGTTGTTTATTGGGATATTTAATGCTTGCTTTTCAAATCAGAGAACCCTAGCATCATCATTTATTAACCATGGGCAATACATCCATCATTAACTTTTTTAGAACTTGTCGAGTATTGGACAGTTTTATATGCTATATGAAACTAATCTGTTATTGCATCAATGTTCTTTGTTTCTTTTAATTTTGTCCTGATACGACCACCTCACATGTGATCCTAATGTTGGTGGTTTTGCCTTTTTTTTCACTTTGTTAGTTGGTCATTGCCATTCTGAATATAATTCTCTGGTTGTCTTCATGGAATACTCTTATTTTATTTGTTTTCACATATATAATTCTTTTCTTTGCTAGAGATTGTAAATATTTTTCTAACGTACAGGCCAACATGAAGTTCTAGCTTCTGGCCCAATTGAGGATCTCATAGCTCATCGAGAGCATAGGTGAAGCTCTACAAATCCTTTCTAGTCATTGTTCTTTGTTTAACATTGCTTTAGAATTTGTTATGTTGAACCAGGTACCGCATTTCTGGGTCGTCTTTGCTTGCAGCCATGGATCTAAATTCACATACCTCTTCTCCTGGGTTAGATACTCGGGAAAAAAGAGACTCATCTCAGTTCCAAGAGCAAAGTGATGATCTTTCTAGGATGGATGATCAAGGTGGAGGAGTTTATCCTACTGTTGATGTAGCTGAAATTCTTAGACGTTGGACTCATGCTTTACAACGTATACATAAGCAGTCGCTTAATTTGGTAGGTTTATATTTGTTGTAGACACTGAGTTGCAGTATGGTTCTGACAGTCAAAGTTATCCACTAGTTGGCATGGTCTTTTGAAATTTCTAAATGATTACAAGTTTGTTTGACATGTGTCAAATAATTTTTCTGGATCCTGAATCTTTGTTCTGCTTTCTTTTCATTATGAACCAACTACTAATCACATCATGTTATCTATTTTGACATTTATGTATTTTATCATTTCGATCTTTTTCTTATTATTTTGGTTATGTCATTTAATGTATCATGTATCTTGGACATTGTGTCATCAAATATCATCCCATGAGATTTGAATAAACATAAATAAATTTTCTTGAGAATTATCTCTTTGTATACAAAGAATAAATACAATTATATTCACACTGGTCATACATAATATTTGTTGAGTTTATGTAGAAATGAACTTGTGCAAAAGAGACAAAACTTAGAGATGACAAATTCTTGAACTAGAGGTGATGACGAGTTGGGTCAGTCATGCTGAGATGGGTTATAGTAGGGACATGTAAGGCTGATGTGAATCGAGCCAATTTTCTAGTGGGTTTAGATTTCTAAATGAGGATTGAGGACCCAAACTATATAGCTATATGGTCAGAGTGGTTGATCATATTTGGTTTTGCATGTCAGAAGGGGATTCAAGAAGATATAATTAAAACATTGCTATAAGCAAAATGTATGCTTGACCTTAACATAGCCAACCAGCCAACAGGTCAAGAGTTCTCGACCAGGCTCTGAACTATGTTCATGACAAGTTATCCTAAACAGTCCGGTGGGTTTGGTTTGACTTGGTGCATGTGATTAGAAATTGATGCCTCTACTTAAAGCAGCTGTTCTGTGCTGTAGATCTATGTTCCGTTACATTTAGTTAAGATATATCATAAATCTGGATACAGAGCAACCCTGCTTTTCCAAATAACTGCATCTTGAAAAGTAATTTGATATACAGTCATTCTCCTTTGAAGTTATAGAATTCTGTTAGCCAGCACCATATACTTCAGCAAATCCACACTGGCTATATTGGTGACCACCGGGATGCCTGGTGTGGAACCTTATATAATTAGTCCATGGTTGCTGTGGCACATAAGTGCTCATTACTTTAGTTCACACAGATTATACTTGTTAAGTAATGTTTAATGCTTTATT